CTTTTGCTAACACCACATCCTACCATAATGGATTGAAAATACTTGTTGGTCACTCAAGGTAAAGATATCAGTCAACTTTTCCTTAGTTATAAAGTTCTCATTAAACTTTAAACTTCTCCATTTTTATTTCAGGCATTTAATTTTCTAAGTTAATGGAAATTCAACTTGAAAAACCTGGTAGTGCACTAGTTTTATCACCATGATTCATAAAAACCATAAAAAAATAATCTTTCAATTTGCCTCAAATTTTTTTTTTTTTTTTCAAATTTGCTATTTTCTTACTGTTGGTTCCACTCTATACTCTTTGTTACCTCATAAGGGCATAGTTGATATAGCTTGGATGATGTGTACTGTGGACCAAAGAGCNTCTTCCATACCCTATCAAACATGTTAATGAAAAAAAAAATTAAATGAAATTTATCAAAAAAATAAAATCACTTTATTTTCTCAAATATATTTGCTTCAAAATAATTTTTGTCATCTTTGTTTTCGTTAGTTTTTTTTTGTAAAAATAAATAATGTTATTTCTAGATACTTGTTAATCTTTTTGGGATGGTTAAAGCCTGAAATTGTGTAAATATTTTTGTTGAACAAAGTTCGCAACACAATTTGTAATAAAAAAGTGTTGAATTAAAGGCTTTCTTTGAATTTCATAAATTTCCACATTTTATTAAAACAAGTGAAAGCAGATTAAGCCCCTGTTTGATAAAAAAAAAATTTCAAAACTCTTTTTTCTACATATTCATTTTCAACCACACATTTACAAAATAAAATATTCTACACGTAAACCCAAAAATTTTACCTGTTCAAAAAAATAGCTTGGCCTATGTACAGTGTCAGGCATGATTGCCGTAATAAAAATAGCAACAGAAATCTTGTGAGGATATTTCTCCATTGCAAAAGCCATGTTCATGCCACCAAGACTATGTCCAACTAGAACCACCTTTTCGTATGGTGGAATCGACTCCATTACCTCGAATAATGGCTCTGTATAGTCGGAAAATGTGTGAAGCTCATCTAGTTTTTTCGGGTTGATGCCGGAGGCTGCAAGGTCAATCGCCGTGACGCGGTGGCCCTCCGCCTCCAGCAGGGATTGTAGCCTGTACCAGCACCAAGCTCCATGGCAAACACCATGTACTAGAACAAAATGCTTTTGTTGCTTTTTACCTTCCATTTTTCTTTTGCTTAATTAGTATATTTCTTATATATCTAGACACATATCTGTATATATATAGAGCGACGATTTGTCTTAGAAAGAGCAATGTTTGCTGGTAGAGAGCAGATAATCGATAATCAGAGAAAGATATTAGTAACGTGGATTTCTTGTTCACGCAATGTCAAATTTTCTAAATTTGAAGGGAGATTAGTTGCGTACGAGGATTTCATGTTCACGCAATGTCAAAGATTCTAAATTTGAAGGGAGATTTGTTGCGTACGAGGATTTCATGTTCACGCAATGTCAAAGATTATAAATTTCAAGGGAGATTTGTAACATACATGGATTTCATGTTCACACAAAGTCAAAGTTTCTGAAATTGAAGTGATATTAGGAACGTGGATATGTCAAAGAAAAGATTTTGGCATCCAATAAAATGAGCCAAACATTTTGGGTAATGTGATTTCATATTTCTTTATTTTTTCGCTTCCCCATTTTAAAACGATGACAGTTGTCCTTTCATATTTAGTAACGAAATTTTGGACTCATTAATAAAACTTATTGATGACAAAAAGAAAAAAAAAAATTGGTATTTTTGGTGCTGGTTGGAGTATTAAGGGTTGTGGTTCCTTGTAAAAAATAAAAATAAGTAAAATTGTTAATCATTATTATAAACAAAAGTTTGGTGGTTGGGGAATATGGCCGTAGTTGGAGTATTAAGGATTTTCAAGCAACTTTTTTTTTTTTTTTTGTTAATGTTGTCCAAGTTCTTGGCTCCTTAATGGCGCTGAATGGTTCTGTGTGAATTTGGATATTCTTTTGGCATATGTTGACACTGTTCACAATAGATGAAGCGAAAAATAAAAATAGAGAATAAAATAATATCAAGTTGTGATGAACAGTCACAGAGATTTCATACCTCCTCAGGTCGTCGTTAGATAAGTCATTAAAGTGTATTTGAACTCAGACTCATACCCTACAGGTCATGGTGAAATGAGTTTTACCAATGGCACTTCGGTTCGTGGTACGAATGACCCACATTACTTGGGGGAGCTCATCAACCCATGCTCATTAGGAGGCATCAAGCTTCATTTTCAGGTTATACTTGATGGTTTTGTTGACTGCTTCAACCTAACCTTTTTTTTTTTTTTGTTGACGTAGGAACTTGCAGTCGCTACCCGTCGCGGAGCCCCGACCACCCTGAAGAGGTGGAGGCCCGACCACTACGAGTGCTCACTAAGTAAACCCCGATTCGTGTGCTGTAGCACGCAAACCACATAGGAGAGGTAAACTGCACTAGGCAAACCCGTTGCGATGAGCTCAACTAATGAAGTGTTGGTAGGGGATTCGAATTCGTGACATTTGGTCTCCGCGTTCACCTGCTCCACTAACTTGACCACCCCCGAAAGGCTTCAACCTAACCTTTTACTTGAGGGTGGTGCGGCGTTGAAAAGTGTTTTTTGATTCCTAGCACCTTACATAAGTCCCTGATAATTTTTTTTTTTTTTTATCAAATTGTCTGCCATTGTCTGATACCATCGAGGGGGGAGTATTGAACCGGTATATAATGTTCTTCCAAATGAACTTGAAAGTGTTACCTTCTGTGATTTTAGACAAAGATTCAACCCCTACCCACTTTGTGAAGTAATCAATGGGTACAATGGCATAGCCTGCATTACCTTTTCCTTTTGGCAAGGGGCATATGAGGTGAATCTCTCACTTGGTAAATGGCCAAAGGTTAGATACAACATTGAGCTCTTGGGATGATTCATTCTGTACATTCGATCAATGGTCGTATATAGTCGAAATATGTGCGACATTCATCTAGGCTTTTCGGGTTGATGCCGGAGGCTGGGAGATCAATTGCAGTGATGCAATGGCCCTCTATCTCCAGCAGTGATTGTAGCCTGCACCAGGACCAAGCTCCATGGCATATATCATCAGTGTAGTTTATAAACTTATTCGTGGTCTTAAATCATGATATTTTATTGTCTTTTGGATTAAATTCTATCTAATCTATGTTATATTGTGTTTTGTAGGTCAAATTTTGCGTTTAATGAAGAATTGAAGAAAAAAAAAATGCAAAAGTGGCGAAAAAATGACAAGATTCAAAGATGAAACCATAGAAAGAAATATTACGTTAAATGAGTTCGAGTTAAATGGGTCTCAATAGATTTGTATTGAAAATTTTAATTCGAGGCCCAAATTAAACATATATATATATATATATGACAGAAGATATACACGCACAGGGGAGGAGGCGCATGNAAGGCAGAAAAGGAAGAGAGAAAGAAAGAAGAAAAGAAAAGAGAAGAGATAGAGAAGAGAGAGAAAGAAAGAAAGAAAGAAAAGGAAAGGTCAAAGGTAGAAACAAGCAAGAAAAACGGCTCAGAGAGGAGAAAGAGAAAAAGAAACTACAAATATCAAAAAATTTCACGTTTGGTGATATCTTTCCATTTTTGCGCATATGAATAACTAATTTTTATATTAGGGAAAACAACTTATTCGACTGTAATCCTTTATTTTCTTATTCAAGATTTATGTGATTTATTTATTTATGGGTTGATTTTATTATGAGTTTAATGCATTAAATTACCAAATCAATCTTATTATATTTTCAATTAGTTAAAAGTAATTAGAAAAAAAATAATCACAGCCATCATAATTATTTACTCGCTTTTGTCAAATAAGAGTTAGAAAAATTAGATTAAGTCCTAAAGTATAATTTTCGTGGGAACGATATCCGGACTCAAGGGTCCACTATATTACTTGTTACGACATCGTACACTTGCGATATAAAAAACGCAACAATATACAATGCACTAGAACAAAATATTTTTGTNCGTGGGAACGATATCCAAACTCAAGGGTCCACTATATTACTTGTTACGATATCGTACACTTGCGATATAAAAAACGCAACAATATTTCATGCACTAGAACAAAATATTTTTGTTGATTTTCACCTTTCATTTTTCTTTTGCTTAGTTGGTACGTTTCTTATCCACATAAATATGTACATATAGAGCGATGTAAGGCAATGTGTGGTGGTAGAACAAGAGAGAGAACTAAGCACATGACTAACGATGAAAAAAGAAAAAAAAAAATTGGTAGATATGGAGTATTTATGGTGCCAGTTGGAGTATTAAGGGTTATGGTTCCATGTCAAAAATAGAAAAAAAAAATCATTAACTATTATTATACTCGCCAATAAGTTCAAAAGTTTGGTGTTGGGGAACATTGTGGTAGTTGGAGCAACGGTTGAGTTCCCAGTTTTTTTTTTTGTCTGTATTTGTTAGTGTGGTCCAAGTTCTTGGCTACTTAGTGGCACTGATTGGTTCTGTGTGAATTTGTATAACAACTCAAATGTGTTTTGGTTTATAATGAATAATGTTTGAAAATTCCCTAAAATGGATATAAATTTAATCTTTTCCTCTTCCAGAGGAATGGAGATATTAATTCATATGATTGCTTTCTTATTCTAATCTAAACTATAACACAAAAAATGTTCTGGTTTGATGCCTTTTAGCGCTTTTTAAACATGGTTAGTAGTGTTTTGTGATGAACTCTTATTGTTGGTTCTCATCTAATCGAATTTGGATATTTCTTTTAGCGTACGTTGACACCGTTCACAATTGATGAAGCGAAAAATAAAAATAGAATAAAATAAGGGAAATTAGCATATAACATCCCCACCTTTCATTGTTATTGTAGAAAACGTCATCACCTTTCATTTTTTAGTATTTTCACCCTTATTTCCACATTTCATTGCGCAAAATGTCAATTGTGAATTGACGAATATACTCTTCCCTTTAAATTGTGAAATGACAAATATACTTTTCCCTTTAAATATCTATTTTTTATTTAAATATGAGGGTATATTCATTATTTCACAGTTCTTTATTGAGAAATTAGATAAAAATGATTATTTGCACAATCAAATGTTTAATTAAGGGTGAAAATGTAAAAAAATAAAAAAAGAATTAAAAAGTACTTTTAATAATTTATTTAAGATTCATTTGCGCTTTTTAAAAAATACTTGGAATTATGATTGTAATTATTTTTTTCTTTTTTCTTTTTGTTTTATTTGAAGAGAATGATATATTCGTTATTTCATAATTTTTAATTGAGAAAATATATGAAAAAGACATTTTGCACAATGAAATGTTTCATAAGGGTGAAAATGCCAAAAAAATGAAATGTCGTGACGTTTTCCACAATAACAATGAAAGGTGGGGATATTATGTGCTAATTACCCAATAAAATAATTTCAAATTTTGATAAACAAAGATTTTTTCAGCCAATCAGACTGAAAAATCTAGTCCGACATTTTGAAAGATCTTCCAAATTCAGTAGTTGGCCGTGGAAGGTCAAAGTCTGTGAAAAGTAATCTAATCAGACCAATTACTGAATTTGAAAGATCAATTGATTGTCTCTCACGAATCTCCCCGCACCGTAATAATTGAGGGTCACAGATGAATACTTTATTTTGATAAGATTGTCTCAATTTTATTAAAGTTGATTTTTGACTTCGGCGATAAAATTGAGTATCTATTTTGGAATGTTTTGAATATATAAAATTGACACACAAACTTATGTACAATTGACTGTTGTATGTAGATCATGAGCGGATAATGAACTTGATTACGAACTTGAAGTTCTTGAGGTATCAATGATTGTGATCAAATCTCTGGTCAAATTATCAATTCCTTGATAAATAAAATCAAATAATTGGGGAACGTACATTAGCAATATGAAATATGTAACCTATTTAATAGGCACAATCATAACTTCAAGTGATTTTTTAGTGGATAGTTAAATCTGAACTCTGTAGTTCAATGTGATCACATGTGGCGTCGAATAGAAGATAAGGTTGAAGATTAATGTATAATTGGAAAATGCATTTTCGTCATATTACCTTGTTCCGAGAATTCAACGTGGTAACAGTAAGTCAAGGATGTAATTATTGTCAATTTCGCTATAATTTTGAGTTGTTGAAGAACATCGGAGAAGGCCAA